TAGTATAAATTTTATCTTTATTTTGCCCTGAACAATACCTATTTTCTTTAGGGAATCTCATAGAATCTTCATAACCTCACACAAATTGTATTCCTGTTTTCTATTCCCTTGACCAAATCACCTATTTAACTGTAATTCCTTGAATAATTATCTCTACTATGGCCATATTAATTTACCTTGCTAGCATAGTAATAATTATTTTAACGTACATCTTTTAGTCACAAGTCAGACTACTACTAATTCCTTTCATCTTAAATCATTCTTTTCTTCTCTGTTACCATAAACCATTACTTCCATTATTTAGCATCATATGCAACAAAACTCAGAGTCTTCAGACAAGCAAAATTATTACAATAAATTTTGCCAAAATGCTTAAAGGAGAAACTTTCCACGTAAATAATACTTTTCACCTTTCCTTCCTCCTCTCCACAAATTTTCTATTTTTAGCTTTATATATTTGAATATCCATTTAAAACGCTGGTCCTTCCTCTTTATCTTCACCATCCCATAAACAGTACAAAATTAATCAGAAACATATCCAAGCAACTTTCTTGTACCTTTAAGACACTATTCCTGTCATATTATTCTTTTCTTAATTTTCTATAAATTTCTGCAAGAACTTTTCTCCTACCAATCTCTTCCTTTACTCATAATCAATATTATGTAAGAGATAAGAGAAACAATCTAAAACATAAATCCACTTACATCACCCTTTTCTTGTTTACTTTCATAATAGCTCAATAATTATTTTCATTATTTAAGCTCATATATAACATTAGGAGCTGTGGTGGCTCAAGTGGTTAAGACGCTTAACTGCAGGCTGTGGAAGGTCAGTAGTTCGAGACCCGAGGTGCCGCATGACAGAGTGAGCTCCCGTCTCTAGTTCCAGCTCCTGCCAACCTAGCAGTTCGAAAGCAAGAAATTGCAAGTAGATAAATAGGTACCACTTCAGTGGGAAGGTAACAGTGTTCTGTGCGCCTTGGTGTTTAGTCATGCCGGCCACATGACCACGGAAACGTCTTCGGACAGCGCTGGCTCTTCAGCTTTGAAACGGAGATGAGCACTGGAACCCTAGAGTCGGATTTGACTGGCTTTCGAGCAAGGGAACCTTTACCTTTACTTTACCTTTATAACACTAGTAGAAATAAACAAACAAACAAAAATATTTAAAGTAAACTTTAGAAACAGTTATGGATAATAGACTTTCCATATTAATAGCAATTATTTCTTTTCCTTCCTCCCCGTCCTGTACTTCTGTCCTTAGAGCTATGCACTTGTATAGACATTTGAAACACCAGCCATACCATTTAATCTTCATAGACAATAGAAAATTAACTAAAAACATAACTCATATTTCATCAGTCTTTTCTTGATTTCCTGTAACTTCCTTTTTTCCAAGATTCCATCTAGATGCCTTATTTCTTTGTAGGTATGAGGTTTCTTTTTCATATCTTTCTTTCTCAATTTCCCAGCATGTAAAAAATGTCTCTTTCCAGTACTTTCCCGGCTTTTAAGATACTTCCCATGTTTCCTTGTATGCCTCCTTTTTCTACCTTTTACTGGCTCAATCTGTTCATTGGAAAGTTTATCATGATGATCTTCTTTTTGGCTTTCTGAGTCTGTAATATTCCTTGTTGTTTCATTTAAACAGATCACTTGATCATTTTTACTTTCATGTTCTGTTGTAGGAATAGTAGAAATGTCATACAACTTATTTCCTTGAGAGTACTCAGAGTCTATTTCTTCATCCTCTCCCTGTTCAGCTGGCCTAGGCTCCTGCTCTCTTTCCACTCCAATGGGCAAGTTCTGCGGCTTCTCCCGAAAGCCGCTCTGACCACAAGTTGTCATAAATTCCCAAAACTTTTGTAAAATTTGTAATAATAATTCCATTTCACATCTTTACATAGTATGTTATTATAACAAGCATAATATCATTTTAATTCATGTTATTTCTATTCCTATCCTTTTGCTATTCTATATCAACATCTTATTTCCAAATCTTCTACTATCTACCTATTTCACATATCCAAATTATGATTTTCCATCTTTATACTTTAAACTCATCATACATTTCCTAAACCTTCCCCCAAAAAACAAACACAAAAGAATAAACTTCCAAATATACTTCAACCAGGGGTCATTTGGGGGGGGGACGCGGGGGGACGCCATCCCCCCGGGTGAGGTGCGGGAGGGCGGGGCCTGGAGCTCCCTGCTGGTGCCCGCTGGAGGTCGCCGCTGGCTGTGGGGAGGACACACTTCCGGTGATGTCAGGGGGTGTGGCATATGCTAATGAGTTATGCTAATGAGTCCCCCTAGCTCTTTTTCTACGAAATGACCCCTGACTTCAGCTATAATGTTACTTTAATTCAAATTAACTTTTACACATCTGTATGTTATCTCAGTACCCTACTTCCAAATAAATCTAACACAATGTGACAAATCCAAATTAGTTATACTCTTCCCAAATTGATACTATAACTCATCATACCTTCCCCAAGCCTTCAGGTAACTTACTAATACTCTTCAAGTATACTTCTTCTAATAAGCTGTTTTAACAAACCCTGGCATAATATCACTTTAGTTCATTTTTTGTTTACACGTAGCAGCACTTTATTTCCAAATAACCTGGTTTTCAGTACTTAGTTTTCCAGATATATATTTTCCAATCAACTTGTACCATCTACCCATTAATCCTTCAATTCCATGTACTTGCTATTTAAACAAAGCAGTGTAACCACCTTTAACATATAGCCTTCAACATATAGAATTCACTACAGCTCATCTAACAATTTTAATTATTATGCTAACTTAAGGAAGGGAAAGAAAATAAAATAAAATCATACCATATTTTTTCTATATTTTTCTTTTCTTGCACTATTGTTTCCTACTTATATTACTAATTTCCAACACCTTTTCACCATTTGCAACAGAAGTTCCTACTGGGAGCCATTTCTCACCTATTATCTTTAAATCATAACTTAAAATATAACTATCTTACATTTTCAGATATACTACTACATTGTACTTATAACTATTCTTATACAAAAAAATGAAAGAAAAACATTTTCACCACCAGATTGCAACAGGTAAAATAATTATTTGAGAGAGGTGGGGCTCTAAGATTAAGTTACCTAAAGTTACTTTAAGTTTGCCATAGGTTAAGCTTTTTGCACTTCAATTTAAAGTTGCTTTCGAAATTCTGCCTTTACATCTTCACCTGCATACCTTAAACTCCATCATTACATATCCATATTCACAAAGGAGAGGTAAAAAATTAATCTAAAGTTCACATCATATTGCATTTTCCTTTTTAAAATTCTTAATAATTTCTCACCAAAACCATTTTAAATGTCTTAATAGGTGTGAATTTCCTTTTCTTTATAGGTGTGAAATTCCATTTCCAAGTCTTGCCATTTAATTTTCAAATCACTTGTAGAAAGTAGTTTTCTAGTAGTTTTCTAGACTTTTGCTGGTTCTAACATGTTTTTTACGTTTCTTTAAGAGCTTCCCTATTCTTTACTTTACATGTTTAGAGTGCTCATTACTTAGTAAATCTTGTCCATCTTCATTAAGAGTTAGTAAACTAAGCGTTTGGGTAGTTTTTCTTTCACAGACTCTCGTAGGTAAAGTTACTATCTCAGTTTCTTTGTTGACATCCTGTTGTGGAAACAAAGGCTCCTTCTCTTCCTCCAAATTTATACAGGCATTCCCTGGCTTCTCCGTAAGACTCTCATGTGTTGATTCAAATACTTGCCGGATCTCATCACACAAGAGTTTTTTAAATTGTTCATAAGTCAATTGTGTAATTTTTGTAGTTAGCCATTCCTCCATTTCCTCCATTTCTTTTACATTCATTTCAGAAATTATTCCCGTTTCTCCATTAAACACCCCCTAAAGATCATTTGCTCCAGTCTCTCTTCCTAGCCGCTATTCAAATGTTAGGACACCTTCGAGAGGGGGGGTCTCCCATCCAAAGTCAACAGGTTAAAGAAAGAAGAAGTCACACTGTCTTCATTATTTGTATTTCTTTGCTGTATGTTACGCTTTGCAATTCAATAATAGTCTCTAAAACGGCTGGCCGCAGCTCTGCAAGACATGGCGGCCATGTCTTGCTCCATCCGACTCTCCTTCCTCGAGGCAACTCGATCCTGACCCCCCTTTTGCCGGGTGTGGGGGTGACCAAGTACAAGCCTCCTGCAACCCGACTCCCCTCTGAGGCGTCAGGCGGAGTCCTCCCGGAAAATTGACCCGGGATACTCCAAAAGGAGTGAGAGAGGATCGGGCGCGTCCCAAGAAAACGCCTGTCGCCACACCGCACCACACTAACTCTGACTTATAAGTCTTGAGTAGTATCGATATATGCCAGCTAAGGAGAAAAGGAAGAAAGGAAGAATTCAAGCCAGAGAGGACAGGTTATACAATGTTAGAGAAGGTGTCTTGTCATGAACGGCCCAAACTCTCATGGCCTGAACAAGGAACTTAGTTAAAAAACTGTATTTGCTGGCCTAGGATCCATTAAAACTTTAGTGACTAAAATATCTGAGGGAGGTTTGTTTTACTGAAGCGTAAGTGGCTTGATCCATTTCTCTCGAGTCTCAGATGATAGCACATTTAATCTTGCAAGCATAATTGCTTACCTGCATCGCACCTGAAAGCTATAAAAGCTGAATGTCTCAGACCGCACGGGTTTGAGCATGGGTTGTATAGCTCAGCACTCTTCGAGAGATGCAGTGTAAAAGCTTGGCCACCGTAGACCAGCTATTGGTTGATGTTTGACTAATGGATGAGTATGAAATGATCAAAAGCGGTGGTTCTCAAGTTCATTCCTGTAGATGACAAGTCTGCTTATGTTCTACTATGTAAGTCTGAGAATTCCTCCTTCAGGTTTTGGGGTGTGAATGTGTATTAGAAACAGGGTCATTCTGTGCGCTTGCCTTGATGCCAAAGTTGTAACCTATAGTGACCATCTGCCCATTTTCCCATTTGCTTTATTCCCATAGATGCTGAAAAGGGCTGCCATTTTCGCCACATTCTCAGCTGCGTTCAGCAGAACTACAGCTGTTTTGTCACTGAACCTGTGATTCGTTACCTCCTGGATCTGATGGAGAGCAACAGTGATGTTGTCACTACCATGGAGGAATATTACACTGTCTTCTAAAACATGGGCTTGTAGAGATGAAATTTTACCCAGTGGCCGTGAACCCCCTCAAAGACTTGGCTGAATTCCTATTTTAAATCAGAAAAGTTAAAAGTTGCTGGATCATTAAATTCTTATTTTTTTGTTGTTATTTCACTTCAGGTTTCAAAAGATGCAACTGGCTTTTAAAACTCTCTTTCTTGAAAGCTATCTGATGTTCCAGGAACTAAGTACAGGGATTTTTTTAAAGAGCTGTCATGTTGTGAATGCCCTCTTGTGGCTGGATAGGAGAAAAAAAACAAACTTTATATTTGGACTCTATAATCTGATAAGCATGAACAGCTTGAAGAGAAGAGTACAGTGAATGCTATGGAAGCTTCATTTTTAAACATTCTGTTGTTCTTGAGCCCTTCACAGTTATAACCATTAGGCTGTTCTGTTGTGCACAATGTTCCAAACAGGTCTAAATCCTGTGCAATGTTGACAAGGTCCTGGGGTACGTGGATTTTTCACAACTCTCTCCTTCCCACCTCCTTATGAGCCTTGTAAAGCTGATACCAAGGGTTAGGGGACCCTCTTGGATGAAAACCCATGCAGCATGGGCACTTAGCAGAGGAAAGCAGATGATATTGCCTGTGGTATTTCTGAGATTCTGATTCTGGAAGAAGCAATAAGGGGTAATTTCACTTGCTACTCCTCCTTTCATCCACAAGAACAAGCTATTCCTCATTTCATCCACACAAATTGCATCACTTTCTGTCCTCATGAGTCCCTCGGTGCTGCCTTTTCTGAGGCTCTCGGGGGGAGCTGCCAGAGGAAGAGGGAGGGAGGAAGAATCCATCTTCTGCTCCTACTGGGCAGAATCATCTCTCTGTTCTCTAACAATCTATGCTTTGGAAATTATAGTGAGCTAAAGATCAGATTCCCCATATCTTTTATGCTGAAATGTCTCTAATTAGACCCTTTTGGCTTTTAAGAACAAGCTATTCTGAGCCCTGCCTACTTATTTTGGGCTCCTTTTGCAATTGGAAGGCATACAGTCATGAGTGCCTACCAAAGATGGCCAAGGTTTGTGTGGCCTTGCCCACTGTCCCTACCAAGGGCATCTGAAGGAGAAGGAGCCTGCTGTAAAGCTGTGATATTCTTCTTTCCTGTAAGAACTGAGATACCCTCTCCCACATCCTTGGTGTGATATACCAGATTTTACTGTATGAGCCTGGGGTCATACTTCAATGTATTGCCCTCATTCTTTTTAGGAAGTCTGAAAAATGTTGGCATTAAAAATCAAGAGTAAACCCTCTAATCCCCAAATTTCTAAAAATATTATTCTGTGTTAAGGAAAAAGTTTTTAAATATTGCTGTCCTTTCTGCAACATTGAGACTCAGGAGTTGAATAGTACTCATGACCAGTGTTCCCTCTAAGCTGAGTTAGTGTGAGCTAGCTCACAGTTTTTTAGCCTCCAGCTCACATATTTTTGTGTTAGCTCAGGAAGGATGGCTCCAGAACAAACTGATTTATGCAGTAGCCAAGTCACTCACTCACAACTTTAATGCCAGTAGCTCACAAAGCAGAACATTTGCTCACAAGACTCCACGGCTTAGAGGGAGCATTGCTCATGACACTATTAGTATAAATGCGAACATAACTGCTGCAGACCTAGCATGTCCAACAGAACAGGATTCAACAAACTGACAGTGTCTTGTTATCGAACTTTAACTTCCACTGTCTGGATTTGATTATGGAAGGAGCATTTAAGCTGGAATGCTCAGGTTTCAGCATAATTGAAGTCTGTAAATTAAAGCTCAGTCTAACCAGCTGTTAAGGGTTTGTCCCCATCTGGCAGCCCACCTCCATAGGTGCTCCCCAACACTCATTTCCTAGAGGCTGCCCCTCTGCTTGGTGCCCCTTGCAGACTACCACTTCCAGCACGGTGGTCTTTTCCTGGTTGCCGCTTCTGATCTGGGCAGTGGATAAGTTCCTCATGGGCCTGCTGGAGTCAAAGCCTGTTATCAAGGCAAGTGGAGATCATAGCAGAGTAGACTTAGAAATGCTGCCATTCAATGAGTCGTGCAAACTGTGTGGCACCACAGGTCTGAGGGGTAGTGGAAGGAACACACAAGGTAGGGTTTCCTCACTACAAGGGGAGTCCCAGCTGCATCAGGTCTGCCTCTTTACCTCCAGCAAGAAAACTCCAGGCCTCATCAGAACCATTGCCCAAATCTTTTGCTATTCAGATATGTTGGGTAAAGTAATGCGTGGAGAGAAGATCCCAAGCTGTAGTCCCTCTAAAAGCAAAGAAAAATGTATTGTTGGAATCAAGTGAAGGAAAAGCACCAACGACCTGCGTCCTCAATATGGGAAGGGAGAAAATGCAGGGAGGGAGGTTGCATTTCCAGCTGAACATTACTTTTGGAGTTACTGTAGAAGAGCAAGCCCATTTAAGTTCCCCATACATTAACCCTGCAGTGAAATTGTGAGTGTTTGTGAACACATGTCCACACACACACACACACACACACACACATATATATATATATATATATAATCATTTATATTAAAGTATGTTATATATATATATATATTCATTTACATTAAAGTATGTTGTGTTCTAAAACACCCAGACAATGTTCAGTAACACCTAAGAGCTCCAGTAAGGTTATATCTTCATTTAACAAAAGGTAGAGATGCTTTGTTTTAAACAGACTCTGAAACTTGTCTCACTGCCACTGTTCTGTTGTAATGCCTTCAGAATGCCACATGATCTATAAACGGTCTTGTTTAGGTTACGTGTTTGGATGGCAGTCTTCCAGTAGATAACAGCCCAGTTGTGAGAGATACTGTCTGTCAAGAGCCTCTTGTGTGCTCCAGCATTCTGTGGTTTCGGCACAGAGTGCCTTAGTCATTCTGATTGCCACGAGGACAGATTTGTAAATGCATGACTGTCGTATCCACATGTGTGAAGCAAACAAAACTAGACCTTTTGTTCTTGTGCTATATGATAGACCTATGCCTTGGGGGAAAGTTCAGTGTTTTTGAGGCTGTAGGTACAGGCTTTTCAAATTGTGGGATCTTGCCGTGTGGTTCCTTAGCTCAATTAGAGAAGGAGAGATTTTTGCATTTGTCTTTTCCTTTGTCTTTAATAATCTTAATTCACAGCAGAACTGTAGCCTTTCCTGCTGTGAAAATTGAAAAAGTTTGTCCTATCCTTCCCTCCTTGTCTTGGTGCCAGAAAATCTTTCTATCTTAGCAACGCTAATGTGTCTTCCGGATATTTATTCTCTCTCGCACATTTTCCCCGGAAAAACTGGAATGTCATGGAAGAAAATAAATATATTTTCTCATGGCGCCACTAATGCTGGTAGAACAGACCGTGGATCTCCTGGTCCTCTGCTGATCTGATTCACGTGCTGATAATGTACGTTGTGACACATGGGGGGAAATGCCTGCCTGGTATGTATTTAGCCACAATGTGGAGCTGTTGACACAAACTTGAGAAGCAGCTGGAATTTACAACCCTGTTCCATAAAGAAGTTTCTAAAGTATTGGGAAGATTTTAAGCAAACTGATGTTTCATGTCATGCCCAGAGTGAAGGAGAGAGGGTGCAACTCTGGCCAATATAGCTCAAGCTACCAGATGTAGGAAGGATTGGATGGAGCTGGATAATTGACTGTTACTGAAGTTAATAGTGAATCAGAACTGGGAAGTCAGACATCACAGCCAATCATTAGTGTATGTTTTACAACATAGTGTATGTCCTAGCTCAGACACCCTGATAGAAAGTTGTAGGTAATTTCCACATCAGCAGTTGAGCAGATCTGCTCTGGTAGGTACAAAGGGCAATATCTATTTCAACCTTGATAACAAAGGCAGCATGGAGCTGCTAAATCCATGTAAGAATTCCTTTGGAAGTTTATTTAATTGGGCCTCAATAAGAGCAAGGCATCTGCCACCTTGCTGATGGTGGGAAATGCTGTCAACTCAGCTGATTTATGGCAATCCCTTAAGGTTTTTCAGGGCAAGAGACATTCAGAGGTCGTTTGCCATTGCCTGCTTCTGTGTCATGACCATGGACGTCTCCCATCTAAATACCAGCCAGGGCCCACCCTGTTTAGCTTCCAGGATCTGACAAGGTCAGGCTATCCAGGTCAGGGTCTCCTGCCACATTCCAGGTATCAGATTTGTTTAGCATATTTAGGAAGGTTGTATTATCACCTATTACTACTGTTGTTGAATAGTCACTGTCCTCCTTACCTTATATACAATTGGGCTTCGCATAGAAGTGTCACAAAGTGTATCTCTTGCTTTCTTTGCCTTTTGACACCACTGCTTGTCCATTTTAAATCTGTCCTCTGTGTGTATATTTCTTGTTGTTGTTGTTCGGTTGCACAGTCGAGTCCGACTCTTTGCGACCCCATGGACCACATCATGCCAGGCCCTCCTGTCTTCCGTCATGCTCTGGAGTTTGCTTAATTTCATGTTCGTTGCCTCGATAACACACTCTAACCATCTCATCCTTTGCCGTTCCCTTCTTCTTTGACCTTCAGTCTTTCCCAGCATCAGGGTCTTCTCCAGTGAGTGCTCCCTTCTCATTTGGTGGCCAAAGTGTGTGTGTATATAATCTGCCAAATGAGGACACGCTTTGTTTATGTAACGAAGTAAATTCTAGTCCCTGAAAACGTATTCCAGTAGACCGTAATAACAAGACCCATCTTGGGGGGCCCCCATAAGATTCTTTTGACTGCCAGCATCACTAAGCTCTTCTCAAAGCATGCCAGTTTAGCCCCTCTGGAAAGTAAATATATTCGTTGTTGTTTGGTGGAGGGGGTCTCTAAATTTAAAAACTCTTCTTTAAAAACTCTTCTACACTGGCTCCCAGTGGAATACCGCGTCAAGTTCAAGGTTTTGGTATTGACCTACAAGGCCTTGAGCAGTCAGGGACTGACATATCTACGGGACCGTCTCCTCCATTATGTCCCTGGGAGAGCATTACACTCTTCAGATAACAACTTGCTGGTGGTCCCTAGCCATAAAGCTATCCGACTGTCCTCGACCTTGGCCAGGGCCTTTTCAGTCATTGCCCCAACCTGGTGGAACTGTCTGCCAAATACCATCAAG